CAGTGCAGCTCATGCTACCATAGTTAATGGTGTACCGTAAAGCGCTCATTACTAGTTCTCTTAGAGAATGTGCCTCTTTGATTCAAATATGAATCATATGCAGCATCCTTTGGGTGTCTGTCACTATGGTTACACCAGCAGTCCGTGCAGCCAATAGGTTCTAACAAGGAAGACCAGGTTTAATTTGGCAGTAATATAGTAATGTAAAAGTGCAGGGTTTTAAAGAGGCTATGCTTCATTCCCTGTAGCTCTAAAGATTGGAATCACAATTCTTCCTATAACTTACCACCTGGATGGAGATTCCAGGTGTAAAAAAACATTAAATGTTTAACTCTACTCTCTACTGTTTGTCTGTCATTCATCAGTGAGTTCTCTCTCTCATTTTTCTTCCCACTTATAATTTTAGGGTGAGGAGTACTGCATACTCTGTCACATTGACAAAAATTCAGCCCTTCATCCTCCATCCATGTTCTGCTTCTTTCAGTAACGTCTAACGCTCTCTGTCTCATTTCCCCTGACACCTCCATGGACAGAGAAAGAATGCTACTCCCTTGCCGTCTTTACAAGGCATTCTTCCCAACTCTCTCATTACTCTTCACCTACTTGTCTATGCTTGTTCCACTTATCCAAGTATCGCTGTTGCTCCTGGTCTGTCTTTCTGCTGCTTTCCTCATTTGCTCTCCGTTACAATGTTGAGATTAGGTTGTCAATGCCATTTTAGTTCTTGATTCTTCTTGATTGTTTTAGACTCTCCATCGTCTTTTTCTAAGTCTTTTTTGTCTTTATTACATCGAACAAACCGTTTTTATAATGCCAACCTACGACCATGAGAGTCACCTTGAATAAACAATATGCAACAGTCGGAGACTAGTTCTGCATTTCCTTTCGATTTTCTTTTGTTTCTTTTATTCTCCTCCACATTTTAGTATATAGGCATTTCTTTATCTGAATGTTTCCATAAAAAAAAAAAAAGATATAAAATAAAATAAAAACTTTAAAGCATAATATACTAAATACAAACTTGAAAAACTGCTGTTCTTCAGGTTTGTATTGGGCCTTTTGAATTTTTCTAAAATGTGTTGATGGACTAAGCTAGATATGTTTAATATATGAAAACAAATCCCGTATTGCAGTATCTGTGAGTCTGATGGTATATTTCAAAGCTCTACTTCTAAGAAATAAAAAAAATTTTGACTCACAAGCTCCTAATGTCCTTTATGCCTGAAACCACATATCTACTGTAAGTATGATACTGGCGTTTTACTGGATTGCCTTGTTGACTCCAAATATCTATTGAAACTTAAACTTGAAAAGAAAAACAGTCTTACACATCACATTTAATTATTACCTTTGCCAAGGAGGTTATATTTTTAAGGAAGTTTGTGTGTGTTTGTCTGTCTGTTTAGAGAAGGGGTGTCAAACTCATTTCGCATCGTGGGCCACATACGGCCTAGGGAGATGTCAAGTGGGCCGGACCATTAAAATTAAACCATACTCTGCTAAAAATAACAAAAATATCATGTCTTTCCTTTGTTTTGGTGTAAAGAAGCACAAGAACATCAGGAAAATATTGAAATTTAATGAACTATCCTTTTACAAAACATTTCATGAAACACCTCATATTTCCTTAGACAAATGTGCAATTTACTTTTATCATTCACAAATATGCATTGCAACTGATCCCACTGATTGTACAAAGGCACAAAACTTTAATTGGTACTGAAAAATATAGTAATGCACTTTAAGATTAAATGAGACTTTTAAAGAAAGAAATTTTTAAACCACTTACACATACGCATATAAAATCTAAATGTAATCCCTGCGTACACCTTACAAACTAAGGAGAGTGATTTTAAATGTGTAATGAAGAAAGTGTTCGCCTGTCCTGTAAATCTGTAAACTTCATACATGAAACATACATACACATACAATACATACTGAAAATTTATGGAGTCGTATGAACAGTAGAATTCCATCACACAACTTTTGTTTTGAAGCTGCTGACTAACATTAAAGTGCACATTTTTTAAATCACCACAGTAAGGATTCATCTTCACAGAACTGTATTCTTTCAATGCAAACAGTATCTGAGGCAGCATTTTAAAGGTGTTAGTCTAGTCTGGACTTGTATTTGTTCCTGAAACTTGGCATCTTTTGGCCTGTACAAGTGCATCAACACCAGGTGTCATGTCCTGACTAGCTGTCACTTTCAGAATGTCATTTAAGTGCTTGTTTGTGAGCCTTGAACGCATTTTTGTTTTATTGATATTCATCACTGAGAAAATTTGTTCACAAAGGTAGGTTGTCCCAAACATGCACAAAATTTTTGCAGCCAGGGCTGTTAATTTGGGGTACCCTGGTAGTAGATACTGATAAAATCTGTCCAGACCTACAGAGGCAAATTTGCCCTTCAAATCTGCATCACACTGCAAATCAATTATCTCTAGCTGAATTTCGACCGGCAGATCAGAAGCTTTAACTGTGAAAGGTGAGCGAAAAACTGAAAATTCTGTATCAAGTTCACCAAATACCTGAAAACGTTTCTCAAACTCCCGCAGTAGTCCTGCAATTTTGTCTTTGTACCGTTTCATGTCCGCATCAGGTCTGGTCACACACACATCTCTCAGACAGGGGAAATGAGCAGGGTTGCCATTTGCCAGTTGCATCTCCCACAAAGTCAGCTTCAACTTAAATGCATGTATGTTGTCAGAAAACTGTGTGACAACTTTTTTGCGGCCTTGCAACATTTTGTTCAGATTGTTCAAGTGTTCAGTAATATCAACCAAGAATGCAAGGTCCCGTAGCCATTCCTGAGATTGTAATTCCAACACCGGTTTTCCTTTTTTCTCCATGAACTGTCCGATTTCCTCTCGTAGATCAAAGAAATGCCTCAGCACAGCGCCTCGGCTTAACCATCTCACTTCAGTGTGGTATGGCAGGCTGTGGGTAATGTTGCTGTCGCTGAGAAGTTTGTCAAACTGACGATGGTTCAGACCTCTGGACCGGAAGAAATTTACAGTGCGAACAACCACCTCCATGACGTGGTCCATTTTCAGCGACTTGCAACACAATGCCTCCTGGTGCAAAATACAGTGAAATGTCCAGAAACGATCTCCTCCATTAAGGGCTTGTACTTTGTCTTTGAACTTTGTCGCGACACCTGCTTTCTTTCCGACCATGGATGGCGCACCGTCTGTAGCCAGGCTGACAGCGCGGGACCAGTCCACTCCAACTCTGTCCAATGCAGCAACGACAGAGCCGAAAATGTCCTCGGCTGTTGTGGTGTCCATCATTGGCACCAACTCAAGAAACTCTTCAGTAACAGTCAATGTCTCATCAACTCCTCGAATAAATATGGCCAGTTGGGCCACGTCTGATATGTCAGTGCTCTCGTCAATTGCCACGGAAAATGCAATAAATGACTTGACTCTCTGTTTCAATTGACTGTCTAAATCTGCCGATAGTTCCGAAATCCTCTCTGCTATAGTATTCCTCGTCAGGCTAATATTGGCAAAAGCTTGTCGCTTCTCCGGACATACAAGTTCAGCCGCCTTCATCATGCATCGTTTAACAAAGTCACCGTCGGAATAGGGCTTCGATGCTAATGCTATTTCGCTAGCAATTAGGTAGCTGGCTTTTACCGCTGCTTCACTGACTTCTCGGCTCCGGATGAAAGTTGACTGCTGTTTCCTCAGACCCGCCAGCAATTCGTTAATCTTTTCTCTTCTCAGTTGTCCTTGCAACCCGTCATATTTTTCGCTGTGATGAGTCTCGTAGTGGCGTCGAATATTATATTCCTTCAATACCGAAACTTGTTGCAAACACACCAAGCACAAAGGTTTTCCGTGCATCTCTGTAAATAAATAGGACGTGGTCCATTTTTCTTTGAAAATTCTACACTCCTTATCTACTTTTCTCCGTTTGGATAAAGACATTTTGGCTAATAAGTGTGTAGCGGAGAGGTAGAGACCAAGGTATTAACGACGTCGTAACAAGCAGCAGATGGCGCATTGATACCGTCTGCTGTTTTCAGTCTGTCTCAGTGATGCGGCTTGTCTTCTACTCTGATGGAAAGAGTGCGCCCCTTAGCGGATAATCCATGAATTGCAGCGAATTAAAAATATTAATTCCATGTCTTTTATGCATTTTTTCCACTTTCAAATTATCCTGCGGGCCTGATCGAACCTCCTTGTGGGCCATATGTTTGACACCCCTGGTTTAGAGGATAACTTCAGAAGTTTTAGATGATTTTGATGACATTTTTATCATTGGTATCCCTCATGCCAAGGAACAATCTATTACATTTTGCTAATGATCCAGATCATAATCTGGACACAAGAACTTTTTAAAGATTGTCTAACGTTGTGAGATGGGAATATCTGGTGAAACACGCAGTTCCCCACTAGACCACAGGGTTCAGCATCAGACTCAAAAACACAGAAAGTATTTTACTGAAGACAAAAACACAAAAAAAGGGAATGTCGTTGCTTTGGTAGCATGATCAATTTAACATTTATGAGCAGATTTTATGGATTTTTTTTTACCAGAGGTGCACCTCATGCCAAATAATAATGAATTTAAATTTGGTAGTGATCCAGATCATGTGCAAGTTTAGCATAGGTGTACTTCACAATATGGGGCAACATTTGCTGCTTGGCAGAGGTCTGTCTATTTCTAGTTTTAGATAGTTATATTTCAGATGTGATTTTGTCTATTTCTCTTTTTTTCTGTACTCTGCATATCAAGAATCATTACAGCAATAACATATAGCTCTGAACAACTATGACTGTATAGCTGGACTTTACTTTGTATTAGTGTTTTCTTAAAAACGTATGCTTTTCTGGTGAATTTTTGAATTGATTAATTTTTTTTTTCCAATTTTACGCTTCCTATATCTTTACTGAGCACTTTCTTCAACATTTTCTCATGTATTTTTTCTCGTTCTTAGTTTATCTCTCCAATGTCATGTTAAACTTCTATTCTTTACCTTTTTTCCCCAGATGAGATTGAAATGCTGGAGCGCCTCTGGCTATCAGGTATCTGCCACAATGACAAAATTGAGGTGATGAGCAGTAAACTGGACATTGACAACATGGCTGGGGTCTTCTACATGTTGCTGGTGGCTATGGGCCTCAGTTTGCTGGTGTTTGCCTGGGAACATTTAGTCTATTGGAAACTCCGCCACTGCATGGCAACTAGTTCCGGCAAATTGGACTTTCTCTTAGCAATAAGCAGGGTAAGTATTTTTTTCAAAAACTCTGTTTGGAATATGTCTGCTGCTAATACCTTAGCTTTACCATTAATACCCATTTTTGCCAGCCACACTGACTTGTGACAGCTACATCTGGATAAAAACAAACCATAAATTTAGATTATTTACAGTGCTGTGAAACGGTAGATGCCTTTTTGCAACTCGCATCTTGTGTTGCTTTTTTGACACTCATTATGGTTGACACTATCAAACCGATTTCTGTATCAGTGTATTTCCAGATAATGATTCAATTAATCAGGGGAAAAAACTTACCCAAAACACATTGACTTACTGTAGGTGAAAATAACCTCCTGTTAAACCTAAGTGGTTAGGCCTCCCTTAATGGCAATATCTGTTACTGTTACTGGTTATGGTTATGTGGCATTTCTTCTTTAACAGTTTTTGAGGCTCTTAAGCAGCAAAGCAGGTTTTTTTTTTTCCCCTAATGAATAAAATCATTATTTAAAAACTGCTTTTACATAGATTTTAGGCAGCTTTGAGATGAAAAGGATTGTTTTTCAACATTTTGCAAATAGAACCCAGAAAAGTAAGGTCTACATTTGTATTGGATTACCCCATCAATTTTTCAAATAACCATTTCTCCCAGCAACATGCAGTCTTTACCAGCTTAGCAGATCTAAAGACTTTGTTTTCAGTCATCTACTGTATGTGAAAAATGCTAAAGCTCAGTCAGTCATATAGAGCATCTATAAACATTAATTTTCACTTTATCAACAAAGCCTATTTCTGTATTTATGTCTGGTATTTCACTGTGCTCTTTAAAGACATAAATACAGACTGATCCTATGTTTGTGATTGTAGCTATAGCTGTAGAGTTATTTGAGCTCTAATTTTAGACCCAAAATGTTTTCTTTTGGGTTGTTGTATCTAGCTGTACAGATCATTTTGTTAACTCTAGCCAACTTCAATGGCCATGGTTAAGAAAAGCATTCCCAATGTTTGGTATTGTCACCATTATATTAACTTTGTTAATTGATTCAGGGTGTGGTGCATGTAAATTGTCCACATACTTGTTTATACAGGTCAAAAGTTTCAATTTTGTTCTTTCTAAAAACCAAAGTTTTTTTTATTTTTACTGTTTCCCGTGTTTCTGACATGAGTCTTGGCTTTCTTCTTGCCAATTACTCATAAAGGCCAGATTAGTGAAGTGCACACCCAATAGCTGTTTCATTAATAGATTCTGTGACCCGAGCTGAAGTTTCCTGCAGCTACTCAAAAATTACCTTGTGTCTCATGGCTGCCTCTTAAATTAACACTGTCCTCTCCGCCCAGTCTATCAGTCTGTGTGTTGATAGGCTTGCATCTCTTCTACCATATTCTTTATGTTTTCATTAAAAAAGAAAAAAAATGAACAGTGATCTGAGAGATTTTTTAAGCTTGGAATACTATTTAATAACATAACTATGCTGCAAACTTCTTAACCTGTATAACCTTTTATTTAATTAAGAGTAACAGTGTAAATATGACTGAATACAAATGTATGTCACACATTTCCAATTTTATTCACAATATGTTATAGAAAACATGTATCCTTCCTTTTTTACTTTACAGTTATCAACAACTTTGTGTTATTTTTGTTTTTACATAAAATCCCAATAAAATGCTCAAAGGTGTGTAGATGATTTGTTAGAAAATGTGGAAAGGTTTAAGAAATCAATAAATGTCTTTAAAGGCACTGTAGGTATGGAACTGTTGTGATACTGTAGTTTTTGTTTGTCATCTGTTAGGAAAAGTTTATGATTAGAAAAGTCAAGAAAATACTTACTCTAGCTTAAGCTGGTCAGTTTCTGATCAAATATAGAAGTTCAACTCCTTTAACGTCCTCACTATAGAATTGCGTAATTCATGCAAGGCAAAAGAGTTAGTTGATTTGTATTATAAAGGTCTCTGGAGCATCCATTTTTCAATAAATAACTCATCATTTTGTTTTTTATTTTCATCTCTTAGGGCATGTACAGCTGCTGCAGCTTTGAGGATGAAACAGCACCAGGTGGCTCTAAATCTTTGCCTTCACACCACCACACAGCAATAGTTACTGTTCCATCACAGCCACATGTGGTCTCAACTACTGTGACCAACCCAGCAATTGCAATGGCGCAACAGCAGCAACAACCACAACAGCAGCAACCACCACCTGTCTTCAAAACACCTCTACCAGGCTCTCCTCCCACTGTGGTGCATTCTGGGTCAACCCTGGGTTCTTCTAACCCCCCAATTGCTGGTGCCCCCCTCCCTTGCTCCACTTTCCTGCCCAGGCCAGATCGCAGGTTAGCAGTAGTGGATCGGTGGAGGTTGCCTAAAACTGCTACAGCCACCAATCCGATGGCTGTAAGAGGGGGCATCACTGACATGGGGCCGTTTGCTCAGAAAGTTCCACAAAACTGGACTACAACTGCTGGAGGGAGTGGGGGACTCGATGGCTATAAGAGATATTATGGTCCCATTGACCCTGAGGGACTGGGGTCCTGTATTGATCAGCAAGCAGGGTCCCAGACCCCCAAGACTATGCCAAGGGGCCACCCCCAACCCCCTCCAGCAAGTGTGGCCTTCTATTCAGAGAAGAGCATGGACCACGGGGTGGTGAAGAAGGTGGTGGGAGGTGGCGGTGGAAGTCAGGGGAAAGGGCCTGTTAAACCTGTGGGCACCCCAAGGCTGCCTCCTAAGAGTCAGGCCCCTCTGCCTCCTACACCTCCACTGCCACATCCCTCGCCCCCTCTTCCTTCATCCTTTTGGAGAAAGCGGAGGCCTAAGAAGCCTAAAGAGCCTGGAGGACCACTGTATGAGAACATTTTGCCTCTGAGGCGAAGGGGAGGAGCAAGAGATGGAATGAGGGAAGCAGGAGTGAGAAGGACCCGCCCACTTTCTCCTCCACTCTCACTCCCCATACCAGTTCCACTCAGCCCCTCCTATACTCCTCCTTCTCCTTCTGCATCTTTGCACTGTACGTCCTCGTCCTCTACATCAACCACCTCAACAACGTCAACGTCTTCATCTGCCTCATCGTCTCGCTCCACCTCTCCTACCTACTCTTACAGCTCTTCTAGGAGCACACGAGACAGGACTGGCGGAATAGAAGGAGAGGACGATGATGATGATGAAGATCTGACAGAAGAGTCAAGTCTTCTCCTTGGGAGAGGAAGAGAAAGGGAGCGCTCAATCATTCGCCCACGTTCCCTAAGCCATGGCCGTTTGCCACCACCAATACCCCCAAGGAAACCACGCACATCATGGGGTGACAGAGAAAGAGAACGGGAAAGAGAAAGAGGGGGTAGCCAACTGTCTCAACTCCAAGAGTGGTGGGCAAGCTGGAGTGAAAGGGAGAGAAGTGGAGCAGGTGGGGAAACTGAAAGGCAGAAAAGGGAAAAGAAGAGGAGGAAAGAAAAGGAGAAGGAAAAGAAGAAAAAGAAAAAGAACAAAAAGAGGAAAAAGAGAGAGGAGAGGGAAAGAGAAAGGGAGAGAGAGAGGAAGCGAAGGAAGGTAAAAAAGAAGAAGAAAAAGGCATTAAAAACAAAGAAAAGGAAAAAGTCTATTGGTGGAAAGCGGTCTGAACCTGAAGAAGGAGATGTTGAACAAGAGAGGGAGGGAGAAGCTGGGAGAGAAAGAGATGAAGGAATACAAGACTATTCTTCTTTTTCTGCCCAATATGGGAGCACGTTTGGAGAAAAAGGAAGAGATTCATGGGAAGGTGAGAGAGAAAGAGGCAGAGGGGAAGATGGCAATGACAGAGATGAAGATGACAGTGGAAGAAGCAGGGAAAGGCATTCCAAATCCTCGCATGCTCATTCTAGACGGCGAATTCCTAATAAACGCTACTCCAACTCCAATAAGTTCCCTGCCTCTGTTAAATTTTGGATGAATGGAAGAGGAGATAACAGCGATGCTACCCCAGTATCTCTCCACCCACTTCTCCCATCCTCTAAGAGGCGAAAAAGTGGAGGGATTGACAGAGAAGATAACAGCAGAGTTGGGGAGAGGCGTCCCTTGTTGATGCATTATGAAAAAGAAAAAACCCAAACAAGAGAAGGACTGTCTTTCCATGACTGGGACTCAGATGAAGATGATGAGGATGACGATGATGATGAGGAAGAGGAAGACAGGGAAAGAGTGAGGGAACGGGGAGAGGACAGAGGAAGGAGGGTTGGTAGAGGGGCTGTCTCTGAGTCTGAGAGAGACAGGGGAAGGGTTGACAGCTACTCAGATGAGGGTTCCTCAGGGGAATTTGGTCGTTTTGAAAGATATTGGGAAGAAAGTGCAGGAGGCGCTGGCACTGGAATCGGAGGCATAGGCGGAGGAGGCTGGTTTTTTGGCACCTATCCCTCTAGAGAGAAAGGGGGTAGCATCAATAGTAGAGATGATTCCTTACTGGGAACTCCGGCAGAGGGTTGGATTGGTACAGATTTCTGGGGATCTGGACCAGGTATTGGATGGACATCTGGTGGAGGAAGTGGAGGGCTGGGCTCACAATGGCCACCAGCCCCGACTGCTTTCCCTCCACCAAGAAGATATTGGTCAATGGACAAAATTCCTGCAAAGGGAGAAAAAAAGTGGAAGAGTGGAGGTGGAAAGAGAAGAAGACGAAGCAGGGAAAGACTGGATCAGGCAGGACGGGCAACTCTGTGTTCCTGTAGTCTTTACCCCCAACCGCATCCTTATCCACATCCCCATGGACAGTCACACACCTCTAACTCCAAGAGAAGACCCTCAACACTTTCCCATAGCCAAGAAGAGCTTCTTCCCCACTGCCACAGCTTCAGTGGGGGTTCTCGTCCGAAACCTTTGCCTCCCAAGCCAGATTCCAGTCAAGCCAAATCAGGCAGCCAGTCTAACCTCAGCCTCAACACACAGCCTACAGACCATATGCCACAGCCCTTGCCGTCACCACCACAACAGCCATCCCTGTCACCCACCTCACTCCCCATGCCCATTGCACCTCCACCCTCCTCAGCCTCTGTGTCACCACCAGCAGGGGTAGGGATGGCAGGTCAGGCTCAGGCATCAGCCAGTGCCAAACTCCAATACCAGAGACTGCGCTCTGTGCCTCAGCCACAGAGATTTTACTCTCCCCATCTACCACTCAAAGCCAAGAGCCTGTGCTCACGTCGAGGATCAGCCCACTTTTCTAGTCTGGAGAGCGAGGTATGACAGGGGGAGACGAGAGAGGGAGACGTGGGAACAAGAACCAGTGCCACTGAAAACCATGGTGCCATGGCAGCTAGAACCAGGCACAACACCAGAGATATGGCTGCCTTGGTGACCTTAGGTAATCGGTTAACAAGCATCACAACAGGAACAAACATGGACAGAGGCTCTATTGTTAATAGTACTCTCGGTGAGAGCAACACTACTGCCACCCGCTCAATTGTACGCGTTCTTATGAGGGCGACAGTGAGGTGCCACACCAGGGTGAGCTATATCAATCTGGATGGTTCCTATGATGAAGAGAGTGAAGTTGAGGCTGCATCACCAGGGACTTCGACCCCAGAACTTCTCTTATGCTCTGAACTGAGCTTTGTGATGTCATCTTCGGTCCTTCTCCCCTCCCCAAATCAGAACTGTGGATAACAGTAGTCTTCAACTTGTGAGTAATGATGTCATGTTTGCACACAAACACAAGCATGCACACACAAATGCACACAAACACAAAATTATCTCACGTCTCCTTCCCTCTGGCTTTGAGTGGGATGAGGAGAGACCCACTTACTCTCTAAAGATGCCAGTGTTTGGTCATCTTCTGGCTTCCTATCCTCATTGCTCGATGGCTTTTGACCTGGACTGGTGGACTGCTTCCCAGTGTCAAAGAGACTATTCCCTCTTCTTCCCTTTTTTAAGAAAAAGCAATGCAGTCACCTCTCTCATTCACCATCTGCCCGCTCACATTTCAATGGACAGTGAGCACAGTGCTACTTATTTGCCCTTTGGCGTCATGACTCTATCAGACCCATCTAGCTCTACCCCAGGACCATCTATATGATGTCACTTTTTATTAGAATCCCTTTTAAACAGTCAGACTGAGCAGGACCTTGTTTTTTTCCACCTCTTTGGAGCTTGTTATGACACATCTGGGCCAAGTGGAAAATATTATCAAGTAACAAAGAATTTGAACAAAACACTTCTTAACAAAAGAAGAATAACAAAATGAAGAAAAAAGACATGTAGCAGATATTCTTTTAATGTCTGTCTTTTGCTTTTTCTTTAGACCTTTTTCCCCATCCCTTTGTTTTCTTTTGTCGATATATATTTATCAGACTGTGTTAGTGTCTTATTAAGTAGGAGGCTGGATGTGGCTAGTGTTGGGAGTGGGAATGATTCCAAAGAAGGGCCAAAATTTCACGCTAGTAATTGAACTTAAATTCCCATTTCTTTCTCCTCACATGTAAATAACTTATAATTCAGCCCAGACTGAATTATGAGTCTTAGAAGTGAATTTAGGATATGATTAGTGTAATATCTATAATTGGCACTAGATGGCTGCATAATATTTGAATATATTGGTGCAGGAAACTTAAGATCAGTCTCATAAGTCTTTAATGCATATAAATGAACAAAGACGCTGTAGCTTTGAATATAATTGTTTCTATGAAAGTTTCAAGCAAGGGTTTATTCACAGTTCAGCATATTTTAAAGCCCCCTTTAGATTTAATTATATGTTGACACCATATTGTGTACTGACTGAGCTGGTATATCATGGATTTTTCAAAAGCACAATTTGTCAATGTATTTTTTCATGATGTGTTGCCGCAGTTGTAATTGTACAATCTCAAGGTAACACACTTTTCCAATACAGCTTTTCACATAAAGATAATAAATGTAAATTATATGAACAATAAATTTCAGTGTAACCAACACTGAAGGGGTGAAACATGAAGATTCATAATACTATATAATTATTTGCTTTGTCTTATTCCTTTTTACCAAATAAGACAGAATGACTGTGAATGTTTCCAGGTGCATATTCAGTTGCTGAGCCTTCACTGTATGCAGTCACTGAAAACTTGCATTGTCAAGATTTTCAGATGGCTGTTTGACTTTGAGCAATATTTCCAACTTGTGACAGGGATGGGGTGGCACATCATTCTAGTAGATTTTAATCTGATTTTAAGTATCAGCTCTTTGAGCTGGGGCTGGACGATCCATACCTTTAGTTGTAATTGTTTAATACTAGTTCAGTTCCTCTTCTGACTAAACTGTGTTTTTGCAGAACAGTAAATGTTGTTCTGCTTCGGCATTTCCAGTTTATGTGCAAAGAGAGGTTTCTGTGAAAAAAGGTGATATTGAAAACAGTTTGCGCAATGCGATGGGCCCAGTTTGTGCCTGCCCACTCTGGCTCTCTGTGCTAAAACCCACTAAAAACTGTGGATAATTTTTTTTTAATAGGATATTTCATTTATAAATACTTCTTTCTCATTTATTCTTTCACACTGTTTCCATTATACATCAGTAGTAAACCCATAGTTAGATTGTTGAGAGGGACAACAAAAACATTTCAGAGAAAACATGACCTACAATTGTTTATCTTCAGGCTAGCCCTTCTATAGCCATGCTCAGGATGTATATATTTTGAATTATATTGTAGTCAACCTTGAATATATTGCCTCCGGCTAGCAATGCATTGTTACCACAGTGTTTTTGATTGGATTCCCATGGATGCATTTTTTTTTCTTTAAACTGAAGAAAAATATCTGTTTGTAAGGTATATGAATTAGGATAGCTATAGCTGAAATTCACAGCATTTGACTTTAGGTGAGAAATTGAAATTATGATTGCTACATGTTAGACACAGGGTAGTGATATGTAGCATAGTACATTTTGTACTGAAAGCCATCCACATTTTAGTTGTGCCAACACTATTTTCATAACTTAAGCATATTTAATTCATGTCTCACACTAAGACCAGCCACAGCCCAGCCATTTGACTATTTTAGTTGAATGTAGCGTTGAACCGATGTAGCAAAAAGAGCACCTACTTACTCTGTAGCTTTTGTTTTTGGATGCTGTATAAAGGCTCAAAGGACAGGACAGACGGGGAGGGAAATGACCTGCCCTGCGAGGGGTTGTGCATCGTGTTTGTGCATGTCGTCACAGATTGGAGGGTTAGTCGACCTTTTCACTTTCCCTTTTTTCCACTCCTTTGCCCTTGTAGAGGCCAGACTATACCTTTTATCCGCAGGTGGATTGATTTTCTTTTGTACCTCCATGTGGGTATGTGTCTTTAGAGAAATGCTTTTGCTGTTTCACATAATTTGGAAAAAGTCTTAGACTCACTGCATGTTTCCCTGAATGAAATTTCCAAGAGTTATAATTTTAATGGTTAGTTTAGGTTTGTTTATAAGTTTTATTAGTGAACCAGGACAGACACATTTTGCTGAGGAAATAACCTTGCTCTGCTTTGCACCCCAGAAGCAGAAACCACTGCAACAGTCCAACTGTTTCCTGTTTAATCAAACACATTTCCAACTAATTAACAGGGCTTCAACAAGGTCTATCATTGAGCATTATCTATTTTTATTGGGGCACTAATACTTAAGTCTGTGACTGCATGAACACAAATGACTCTTAAAAACCCTCTGGCTTAATTTTATTTATTTAATTTTATGCTGAGAAAAAAAAGAATATATTGAAATATACTATGTTTTTGAGAATGTACCATGTTATACTGTGATTTAACTGAGATAATTTATTGTATTCAATCATCATTTGAATTCTATCATTTATCTATAAAGAAATATATATGTACAAATAAATATATACATATATATACAAACAGGTATATATATATATATATATATATATATATATATATATATATATACCCTATATTAGTTAAGTTTGGTATATTTGGAGGAAGTGTTAGATTAAATAGTTTTAATGTTTTAGCTTTGTAGCAATTCTAGACACTAAAATCCTTTTTTGAATTTTGATTCCTCCTATATGACTGTGAAGACATTAGTGCCTGTGACAAAAAAGACAAGTAAAAGTCAAAAACTTTCTATTCATCTGTATCTACTATGGCTATCAGTCTGTCACACCTCTAGTACTACCTAACATTACATTTTCTTCTTTTTCACACATTAGAATGTCTCTTTTTACTTTATTTTTTCCTCTTCTCTTTGTTTTTTTTCATTTACAGCCAATGGTCCATCTACTCCTTTTTTTATTTCGTTCACATTGTTACATGTGACTGAAATTACCTCATCAACTCAACCTTTACCTTTTTCTTGTTTTTGATCCTCTCTTTTTAAAACTTGATCATCCCTCTGTCTGTCTCACTTAGCAAAAAAAAAAATAACAGAGACCAGTAGATACTGTGTTCTTGCTCCTTTTTGACTGATTGTTGATGATGGTGATGATAATGATGATCAGTTTACTGATTGATAAAACAATTCATGAACAATGTTACTAGTACTGATGTGACTGAAGTGTGTATTTGATGACCACACCACTGTAGCAAGTCTGGGCTGTACCACACCACCAGCAAGCAAGCAGGGCCTCAGTTCTAGGTCATGTATCACATTATCCAGCACATTGTCCAAACAAAATATATTTGAGCATTTTTGATATTAGTAATTTGGAAAATAGAAAAATAAAGAAAATTAAGGAGTATAAAGAGGCAGTATACAAAAGTGAGTTGCAAAAATATTCCTACCTATTGAATATCTTCACATTTTGGCACTTACAACAACAAACATCTATATATGTTGGTTAATTTGTAGACAATGGTCCAACAAAAAGGTGAGTTGAATGAAAAGTGATAAATGGTTTCTAATTTGATTTTACAAATAAGACCTATGTAAAGTGTCCTATGCATTTTCCCTTAGCCCAAGTAATCGGATGCCCTGATATAAGTTTTCTAAAACTATATATATATATATATATATATATATATGCACATTATCCTTTTAAAAATACCTTCATATCAGCCAGATTGGATGGATAGCATCTATTAACATACTTTTTTAAGTCTGTTCACAACTTGAGTCAGATTTGCGCTTTAACTGGGCCATGTACACAAATAAATAAGCCTGCTTTTTGGCATTGCTGATGTTGTGTGTCCTTTGATATTCTCTTACAGACCTTAGAAGCTTGCCTCAGAATTAAGTGGGCAAAATACAAATGCAAGCCACACTTTTCAGATTGATTCTTGTAACTATCCTTTGCTGTTCAAATCCAAATATGA